TTCATATTTTATTTACAATTTAAATCACCGCTAACCGTTTTATTGACGGTTGCAAACCAATTGCATATAATTTGAGCGTAGTATAATGATGTTTCGTAATATTTAGTAATTATTATTTTTCTAACATTACGATTACGATATTGAATATATTTCTAACATCTTTTGCGCCTGCCTATAATATCTGTCGTTTACAGAAAGCGAGCAATCTCCGAAGTACCCTGTATATACGTACCTGACCACTTGTGTATAAGAGATATACATGTGTGCTTATGTGTATCGCTATTTTTGGCCGGATCGAGATACGACCCCAAAAAGCTATCGGTACAACCGTCGGTTGTCGCGAAATCCGGAAGCCGCACCCGTTTCGAGGGCTGGACATGGACGTGTGCGGCCCCTTTCTTTTTATGAAACTTCCGATAAACGCCCGCTGGCAAGGATTTCCGTTTCATTCGTCAACCTGTCCGACCCGAGACCCACGCGCGACACTCTCTCTTCTCTTTCTGCCTCTTTTTATCACTTTTCGAATATTTATTATATTTTTTCTCTCTCGTTTCATTGTTATTTACTTCTTTTCTAACCAAAATATAAATCACATAATATCGAAGAAAATATTTTAATGTGCTTATTAAGCACATTATTGTTAACATAAGTTGAAACTATGTATCATTAAGAATATACATTTTAATTGCACAAATAATTTTTGCCGCATTGATTTATGACTCAAGTCAGATTCCGACATATGAATCTAATTTCTATAGAAAATATACTTCTATTTCAAATTTCTATCTAATTTTCTTCAAATTATCTTGAATTTAAAACTTTTTTTTAATTTACATATCTATATTCTTTCGGACGCGATTCATTCATGGTCCAAATATCGAAAAGATATGAACGCACGTAAATCGTCAGGTTACGGCGGACAGGTCTACAGAGTGTTTCCCTCTAACTATGGCAGCTCGGAACTTCCGGTCAGAGCATGTCGATAGAGACAAGCCACACCATTAAGCGTCGTGATACCCCATACAAATCACGTCGATCCACGATTTATGGTCCATTCACCCTCTCTCGCAATCGCGTTATCAGCGCCGATAGTTGCACGCCCAAAACGAGGCTTCTCCATGAAAACATGTCGCCACGATGAGATATATATATATATAGAGAGAGAGAGAGAGAAGGGCCATTTCCTTCCCTCATATTAACGATGCATCAAAAATATGATTTCGATCTTCAACAGTATTCCCATATTCCCGATTCCATTCTTAAATTATACACATTGCACTTCGCACATACACAATCGCTTATGCGTAATATGATTTATACGTTAAAGAGTTATTCCCGCTTCTTGTTGTGCTTTGAATTCTAGAAACATCAAAATTCAATTTATTACATTAATATCAGAAAAAAGGAAAACATTCTTTTCTTTGTGCACTCTTTCTTTCATAATTTTTAATTTTATCTTATAATACTTTGTAATCTTATAATACTAAAAGTATGTAGTTGTACACTAAAAAAAATTTTATGTTGAAAATGAACGAATCAGAATTTTCTGATTAAATTTAGCAGAATTCTGGTTGATACAATGTGGTAAAATCTACTAGAATTCATATTTTTTTCAGAATAATTATATCAATCAGAATTTTAGTTATTTTAACTATAATTCTAGTAGATTAACTAGAAAATTCTGATTTGTCCACTTTCCACCAGAATCACTATTTAATCCAATCAGACCATTTTTCTCAGTATATTATAATTTGAATTATGTATCAATATTCATTAAGTAAACATAATTTTTTCAAAATAAAATACTTGCTAGCATTTTTGATTGAGATTTGGTGTTCTTAGATGAAATCCTGCGATATTTTAAGTTGTTTGCATAAAATATAGTGAAGATATAACTTGTTATAATTTTCTAAAATAGCCTACAAGAAGAATATACTCGACGAATCTTTTTGAAGCTTAAAGACTGAATTTAAATAAATAATTTTTAATTGTATTTATATATATATATATATACGTAATATTATTTTTAATTTAGCATTAATAGTTGTAATTTCATTTCATATTCTACATTTTTAATTACATATCAATGTTATATATATACGATTTATTAAAAATCGCATTTTGTTATATCACACATTTTTTGACATTATTTTTTTTTAAGTACATTAAATTAAATACTTTAATTAATTAATTAATAATTAATTAATTAATTAAAGTCTATTTAAAATAAATTGAGAATTTGTTATGTATTTACATTCCTAAAATTTAACTTATTTAAATTAAAATTATTCTTATTTGTGTGAAAGTACTTAAAATTCGAATACTATTGTATAATTGTAATTATTTTTAATTTGAGATTTAATGAGTGTATGTATATAAAATTTGCGTTCTCTATCACTTTTGTATTAAGTATTAGGAAAAAATACTGTTATTGAGAAATTAATCTTTAGCACTTTACGCTGTGAGCATCCATCTAGATATGAAAAAATATATACATACATATATGTATATATATATATTCTATATATATATATATATATATAAAAGCTTAACCCGCTTCTATTCCTAGCTATTTCCATTGCATCTCTTATTTGAATTTTTCCAGTTTTTCCACGATCCTCTTTTATATGACCTACCACGAAGTAATATCTACTAAATTGAAACAGTATTTATTTCGCTGACACGTTTACATTTGATGGCAATCTTAAATGCTTTATTTAACCTTTTACAAGTGTAACTTTCTTTTTAATTTTTTTAATGTTCTCGTAATGCGTGACAATACTATTCATTTTGCAAATCGCAATTTAGTTAAACTATTAACAATATAACAGAATGAAACAATCTGGTAATATGTAGCTAATAATATCCACGCATCGTTCAATAAAATGCAACTAATCAAATTATAATTGATAAATTTAAATTATATTTTCTATTAGCTAAAACGTACATGTATACCTATTCAGAAATTAATAAAGATAAACATAAAAAAATGTGTAATTACAAAAATAATATAACGTTAAAGGAAATGAAATAGAAAGTATAAGAAATATAAAAGAATTTTTTTATGTTTTAGTAATTGCAATTTAAACATTTCAATTAGCAAATATAATTTATGTTATCATATATTACCGCGCGTTACAGTGTTTTTTATAACTTGACAACATAAATGCAATTTAAATATTGAATATGAATTAAATATACATATTTATGTTACGGTGTCTACACATAGAAATACTGTACGTAATAATAATTACTTGTTTCAAGTATTTCAAAACTTCATATATCCGCAAATTTATTACAAGTTCATCACAAGCATCAAATATATTCAAAATATATTCCGAATCCTAGTAAATTTAATACTTCAATCAAGATTATTAAATTAAAACGAATACGATTCGCTTATTATATAGGTTTTTCGATCAATTTTATAATATTCTTTAAAAAAAAGTAATTCTTTGAGCACATAATAATAATGAATTTTTTAAAATTTATAATAAATATATTTTTTATGATTATAATATTAAGAAAATTTTCTTTATTAAAGATAATCATTACTTAATAATAAGGGAGAGTAAATTGAGTGATCACTTTTCTTAGCAATAGAATGATATTTTTCTATATGTAAAAATCACGCAGCTACGCACGTTGTCAGAGTTAAGTTGTAGCATAAGCATAGGAATGCTTCTACGCAATAATACAATGCGTTATTTAATTCACGCAGTACGTTAACATAAATCTTTGTCTCTTCTTAACCACAGCAACAATTCGCATTACAGATCGTACTCCCCGTCCCCGTTTTTGTTTCTCATCATTCTCAGCTTTCTTCTTGTTCTTTATTAATGTTAGGAGTGCCGGCGGTGTACTACCACGGAACAGGAAGTGAGAATGCAGGCCGCGCGTATACAGAGACGCCGATGCAACACGTCCAACGCAATGCACTCCGGAAGAAATGTATGAAGTCGACATTCACTTTGCTCGAAATACGCACTTCGAAACACCTCCTTCTCTTTCTTCGTTTGTCTATCCATCTTTTACATACATACTCACGTCTCACGCATACGCTCGCGTACTTTTTTCACCATCATCCGTTTCTCTCTCTCTCTCTCTCTCTCTCACTTTCTTTCTATCTCTATTTGCAGAAATCCCCTATGCGCGATCTTTCGAAGTACAACCATTTCTCAAGAATTCTTCCTGAATCGTCCCGCCTCGTTTATCGCGTTTCGTTCGTTTCTGCCTTCGTCTATTCTGTACAGAAAATGCATATTAATATCGAAGTGCATTTCGATGCATCGAGTGCTACTCTAGGGAGTCTCTCGCACTGTAGTTTCGACGGCGATCGATACCCCTAGGTTCCATTATTGCCACAGCCAGCCGATGCTGCATCCGAATCGAAACCGTAGTCGTGGCAGTAAACGCCAACGCGGTTTCGAGCATCCTCGCCCGATGGAGAAAGCTGATACCAACGATACGAGCAAGAGCTTTCTAAGTGCCTAAAGAAAACACCTGTCACACTTTTCGGCGATGTATGGCGCTTCCGTTATTTTCAACGTGTTTCCTTACACGCGCGAACTCATCCGTCGAATGTAATTTTCCGCGATAGAAGAACCACGGTGTCTGTACGAACGTTTAAGAGCCACTTTTCACACTTGAGTGTATCGAAGACGAGAGGCAGAAGGCACGTATACACTCGAGGATTGTCGACATCCTCGGACGAAACTCGAAAACAAGAGAGACGATTGACAAAGCAACACATTCAGAAAAATCACTTTTTTGCGTCTGCAATAAATCTCTTCAATCGTCTATCTGGCGCGTCATCATTTCTCTGTTCTATTCTTTTCTTTTTTTTCCTTTTACATATATGAATATATAATATATGTATATTTTATATATACATATTAGCTTTTAGACTATTGCCGAGTGATAGTCGACGAAATGAATAGCAACAGCACATACGTGTGTTTCAAGTATGGCGCAGTTGTGACCGAAGTTTTATGTTTCAGTGGATCTAACCAATGGACAACTCACCCCAAACAACAACACGCCCTTACTTACACAAGCACTTTCTGGTACGTTTTAAAAGTTTTTCTTCTCCTTGACTGCGAATGTAATGCGCTTTCTCAACTCGCTTCGTCGCGTCGCGATCGATTCGCCCAGAAATGCAAACAATTTCGGCTATGATGGCTTTTTCGTTAACTAGTCACGCGAGATTGCAAGCAGTAAGGATTGTGCGCAATATCTTTAAGAGAATACTCACGGTCGCATGAACGGAATATTGCGGAATAAAACGTTAAACGCAATATTACGTTCGAATCAATCATTGCTTTTGCCATCTCATTTTAATACGTCCAGTATTTTGCTGCGATATTTTCTCAAACTAAATTTTACTTCTAAGTATGGAAATGGATAATTTTGCGAAACATTATCCTCTAAGATTTCCAATTTTACCATTTCATGTTAATTCTCAAGAATCAATCTCCATTTAGTGAAATAATAACAGTCGGAGAAAGATTTCGATCGGTTAATGTCTGTAATTTCAGAAGACGATTACGATTCGTGTACGCGAGCAACTGAAAGCATGGCTATTGTTGCATGATTGATATCATTACTGTGCATGACTATTATACGTAGAAATATTTTATTAATAACTACCATATTATATATACTTGTATAATATAAGTCTTGACACAACCAAAGGAAACTATCGTAGGAAGTCAATAACGTCATTCGTGATGTTATTCTCGGAATATCAATAAAGTAAGTGAGATCTTATCGCTTATTCTGCCAGATAATAAAAGCAGAGACGAATAATTTCTCAAGTTTAGTGAAAACTTCCTGTTTCTTTATACACCTTCCTTCATCTCGCTATAAAATAACGTCATTTCCTAAAGAAAAATATTATTGAATCCTAAACAGATACTCCGTCTCGTTACTTTTCATCTCTCTGTTATCACGCGATCATCACTTCCTGTCGAATCGCGGAGAGACGCGGGAGAACGGAAGGAAAAGAAGCGATCAGCATACAGGCATTCCCGAAGAGAAGAGTGCCACACACGCGAAGGCGCCGGGATGCCGGCAGCGAAATACGCCTCTGTAGTTCTTCTATTCTTTTTTTTTGTCGTACTCCCCATCTAGAATCTGCCCCCGATCTGAGTGCCCCGCCCGCGTCCGCGCCGTCGCGTCGTGCCGTCCGCAATCTCCTCTCAAATAAATCAAACTTTTGAATCGCGCTCGTCCCTCCTCCGACGGCACCGACTCCGACGATCCCTACGCGCCTTCCTCTCGCTATGGTACCAGCAGAAAACTTTGTAACCGGCCGCCATTGTCAAGAGTTTAAAAGCTGAATGGGTTTTTAGATTATACGGCGGGGCGTTTTCGGTTTCCCGTGGCCTCGTCACCGCATCGGTCTCTCTTTTCCTCGCCTGCCTCGAGAGAGTTTCAAATTCTTCGCGTACCGCCCGCTTACGATCTCTCTCCTCGTCACCGCACACTCACTCTCTTCTCTACTATTTCTTTCTCTTCTTCTTCTTCTTCCTTCTTGTTTTCCCCGTCGTCTTTTTCCTCTTTCGCTTTCGTGACCGCCGTTAATCCGAAAGTACGTACCGTATGACATTTACGCGAGCTCTTGCGCGCGAACAACATGAGCGCGATATACGGAATTGCTTGAGTCAGATGCATTAATCTCCGCCGCTTCTTATTGGCTATCTGTCAGAGTTTTTACGAGTGCTAAAGTTTCAGAATGCGGACGACACGCCGAGACACTGTTTTCCTGTGTGTGATACAGCTTCGAAAGTAGCGTAGAGTAGTTCCGCTATGATTTCGCTCCTTGTTACTTTTATATGTATGGGAACGAAGGGCAGTTGTTGGCAGGGTTTAGAAAGAGAGTTTCGAACATTCTATAAACATAGTAATCGCATTAGTACTTAATCCTTGCTGTGCATTATGTATCAAATATCATTCGTTAACGTGCAGAAAAAGCTCGCGGAAGTAACATATATTTCCCATGTCGCTTTACTGTAACACGAAATATTCCAGTTGCAAAAGCAGACAAACAGCATAGTAAAAAATTAGAAATATCCAAAAGATTTATATCATTAGAAAGAACATTATTTAATGTGCAATTATTTGTGAAAAATTAGCTCTAGATTAGTATTATTTATTGATTTATTAGATTAATATTATTTTCTCTTGCCAACAATTGAATTTGATGCAAAAGGGAGAACAAGATTATTTTATTAAATTCTTTAAGAAGAAATAGAAAATTATTACTAAATTTCCTTATTTTCGCTATAATCGACATGAGGGATGAAATAATTTATTATTTCGATTAGTAATCCTCAGATTTATATATAAATTTATTTAATATTAATAACAAAAAAACACATGTTTTAAAAAAGTATTCGTACAATTTAATTTTTAACTTATTTCCCAATGCATCAAATTTCGTAATTATCCGCATCATAGTGTCGTCTCATATTTTATTTTCTCTCGTTGTAATCTCACGCGGGGTCTTTATTTCGAGAGTTGAACGTGAAATGGGGTAAGTTTAGTTTTCGTCATTTGTGGCCTTTCTAAATCGAACGAACCTTGTCAATTTTTGCGTTTGACTTCTCAAGAGCACGAGGGAAAATCAACCCTCGTGCAAACCAAACATTCGAACAGTAATCGTAGTCGAAAGCCTGTTGTATCTAGTTACTTTTCAAAGTCGATCGTCATCACTGCCTCGTGCGATTGCGTTGCTTGCCCCACTGACGTGTTGTACAATGTCATACATATATGTGCAAGGCGCTTTCTTATTACCTCTATGATCGTATGTAAAGGCTGCCTTGCAATGTGCTTCATGAGTGTCTTCTTTCATTCCTTCCTGTTTCTTTTCTAATGAAATTATGAGAAGATATTCGTTAAATGGACTCTATCCTTTTCCTTGTATTTAATGTGTGCAAACGAGATACGTACTCATCGATATAACGGCATTTACGTGATCATTTAAACGCGCGGTCATTTAACATGTCATTGCACAGTCCTTGAAGTAAAATGTAGACCAGAGATTGTCGTCGTTCATTTGTGCACGAATATGCGTGAGCTCGTTATAACGAACATCACACTATAGTATATATGAGTTAAAGAATCTTATCTCTAATGAGATTTAACCTGCTAGAGCGTATCATTATACAACTGAAATGAGTTTGATATTAGTAAGCGAAAAGCGACGAAAAAACTAAAAACTAGGGGCAAACGCCAACGGAGCAACGTGCCTCAAGGTACTTGCATGGAAGATTCCTAAAAAGGATAAGGCATGCAACGCTCGTATCGCTATCGCGGGTAGAATGAAACAATCCGAATATACACGTCCCATAATTGTCATTCAGATGTTTAATTGTTGTTAAATAGTGTACGCTATAATTACAGGATTGAAAATTAAATGCGGTTTAATCGTCATTTAATCTGCAGTTATTTAATGGTTAAATAAAAGAGATGACATATTTTTAGATTCTCAACTACTCTGACACAGTCAAAGCTAAACCTTCGTACATTGACTTTGTAAGAAAAATTACTTTTCTTTCAGTTAGTGAAGATAAATAAAAAAACTGATATTAATGTAAAACAATAATGTTATTACAAGAATGATCAAACTACAGTGATTATATTACCTATAAACTGGACCACAGTAATTGAAGATATTTTAAAGAATTATTATTGATATTTCTCAACAAAGTCTAAATTCGGAAGCAAATTTACAAGTGTTTTCGCGTTTTGCGGGTTTCGCGGGAGGTGAGAAGGAGCTTCACTCGTGAGGCTTCTTCTCGTCTGAACGACATCCGTTCGATCGTAATAAGAGGGTGAACATTGACGCGGGTTCGTTGCAGTGATGAACAACTACCAGTCAGTCGCAAGCTACGTCCAGGCCGCAGCTAGCCCGCAGCCCCCCACGACCGCGTTCCCCGCGATCGCCGTATCCCGTGCCCCGCTCAACTACAGTCCCGTAAGTCCATTTAATGCTCCCTTTTTGTTCACCGGATCGGGCCCCTCCCGATAAACAGATGGAACGAAAGGATAAAAGGCCTAGTCGAAAGTCTCATACTTTCGTATTTTATGAGCAGCAATATACGATTTAGTCACTGCTAATTTGTTCTACCGCTAACATCATAAGCTGCGATCTTATTGTATCCACAACAAGTGAATTGTTTCCCTCGAGTTTCATTAATCGAATTTCATCAACTAAATAAAATTTCATTTTAGTTAACAGATACGAAGTAAAACCGGAAGATATATCAGTAGAAAGTAACGGTTAGAAACAAAATCTAATTAAAGAAAGTTTTTACATCGCATTTTAATTATAATAAATACAGAAGATCAAATATATTATCGATGTTTAAACGTTTCTCAACAAATATTTGCGGCTGATAAAACAAACAAATTATCCAGATAAATTTGATGCAAAAATTCATATTTTTTTTTTCTTTAATTTATATCGCATGCAAAAATTTGAAATGAATTTTACACTAATGTAATAAAATATTGCCAAAATTAAAGAATTATTTGACCATCAACTAAGCTCTTTATCGCTTCGTTCCACATTGCAATTTCATCAGCTTTATGCATTTATAACAAACAAATGTGGATATACAATATCTTCTTGCGAACATATATTTAATGCAACCGGTTATCAATCTCACAAAAGAAGATTGCTTCTATGTACATATTATATACGCTTTATACATTCTATATTCTGATTCTATATTTTCTGAATACATCTCTGGTCCGTCAGGTATAGTATAACAATTATTACATTGGCTTGTATCGAAAATAAATTTAATATTATTTATAGGATTTATCTAATCTATTCATTCTTTGCAATATCAATATATTTAATATACCCAAGACTCTTCCCATGTAACATCACTTCGCGTATTACCCTTTGCATTTTTGTCACTTATTATTATCTTTATATTATGGAATTTTGAGAAATAGCAAAAAAGAAAAAAAGATTTTACAACCTCAAAGACCAAGTACCGCAATTGCACGCTGCAATTTTAGATATGCAGGCAAATGTAAAGGTTTATCTTTATGCTCACCCTTGTGTAATAATCATTATTTTTATGGGAAGGTTGATGAGACCGATATATTGTATTGTTCCAGGGTCCTCTAATACCAGCGGCGTTCACTAATGGCTACCATTGAGCCTTGTTAAGACCTAATAACAGGTATGTGTGCCATCGACAATATTTCGTCGAGTTGTATATACATTTTATGTTGAGGTAAATTTATTAAGAACGTTTATTAATATTGCTGTCTACAACATGCTAAATAGTTTAGTTTTTTCTCCCATCTTACAAACCTTTGATATAATATTTATCTTGATGGGAAACAATAAAAACAGTGAACGATAAAATAAACCCTATTTTTTTAATAATTCGTATAAAAAAAGACAATTCTTAATTTTTACACATTTAAAAGACACTTACAAGATTCAAATATGTCTTTAAAAAGAAATTTGAAGTCCCTTTTTATTTTACGTCGGCTGTATAAGTCCATTTGAAATAAAAACTGGTCGCTTTTTTCAGAAGACAAATTTTAACTTGTTGAACTTTTAATTCTTTTTCGTCAGGATGGACGAGACGGCAGAACGCAGCACGGTCGCCTGATATAATAAGCAACACGGACGATTTGAGGCAGCTAAACAGTGGACGATCTCTGGACGAAAAAAATAACACGCCTACTGTATAAATACAAAGATATAAATAATGATCAAAAGTTGCAATATATTAAAAAACGGATAATGTCGAACAGAAGGCAACTATCAAATAAGATCTAATCGATGCAACTTCGAAATCCGGATTGTAAATAACCGGATGTAATATTACGCGAATATGCAATAATGCATTAAGAAAGAATTTAGAGCATTAGTCGAATCCAGTTGGATGCAACTATAGATAGAGAGAAGAAAATTAATCCTGTTGATGAATAAGGGAAAAAACTGACGCGCAACGGGGAAGACGTCCAGAGTAGACCAGAGGAAAAAGACGAGAAGAGCGACAGGAAGACCGACCGTCAGACAGAAACCGGAAGAGGTAACAACGCGCGCTGCGTTAGGCTAATTATGGCCGAAACTGCGTATTAACGCCAGCCCGTTCTCCTACATTAATAAAAGAAATAATAATATAATAATAATAAATTAAATTAATATTATTAATTGCTAAATATTTAAGCGGTTAAGTCTAGAATATATATAAATAGTATATATATATATAAAGATATAAATATATATATACACACATATATATATATAAATATATAAATAATTGATAATTATTATAGACGGTAACGTATGACTCTAGTATTTAAGGCAGTTAAAGAGACGGAAGAGATACCAACTCTCACGAATATTAATAATAATTATTAATTATTACATGATTATTGGCGATTGCAATTATTAACGAGCGCCGTGCACCACGCGTGCCCACGTACATTATATAATGATAGGCACATACGCGCGTTCACACCTGGGAAAGACTTTGTTTCTGGGCTTTCAAGTTTTAATCGTATGCGCGGGAAGGGTTGAAGAGTTTAATGGCGGTCGAGAGAGGTACGATGACGCGGAGAAGAGAGAAAAGGAGAAGAGGGATGAAAAGCAGATGAAAAAGTAGAGCAGATAAATCAAGCGATCCTTTTTTCTGCCCTTTCTCTACGTCTGTACATGCAGATTCAAGCTCCTTCTTCTCTTCCAACGTGCCTTTTCGCTGGCTAAATGGCGGAATGGTGCTTCTCTCCTGTCCTGTCGCAGTACTGCTTTCCCGGGTGCGCAACGAAATAATGCAAAAAGATGTAGCGGCGGGCGAGCGAAGGAGTTACATAGGCGTGTTACATACTTGATGTCACGCTGTTAGCATTATTTGTGGGAAGATGGAAGAGAAACACGCGCGAGAGAGCTGCCGTCGAATTTCGGGCCGACAAACGATGAGATGCGCAACATCGGAAGGCTTCCAGAAAGAAGGAACAGTAGTGGATGATATTGTTAGGACCACAGAATAGTGGACGTTCTCTAGCTACATTTCGCCGATGAAATCCGCCATTTATATCCCAATAGATAAATGTAACTGTTTGATGCACGCGTTTATAGAAATATAATTCAAATTCAAGTTATTCATTGAGCCTACTCAAAACTTGATTAGTTCAGCCATTATCAAGATCCGATAATCTCGGATATTTGCAACTCGCCGTACAGATACATGATCATGAGTATTCTTTAAAACAGAGATGCGACCGTGTTTTCTGATGATTATTGTATGATGATTATGACTATAAACTTTAAAAGAATATTGTGTTTTATGACATTAAGTAGTTTTGAAAAGATATAATTTTTTTATTATATTAGGAAATTTAAACTCTCACGACGAAGTCACTCGACAGTAATGTTCTTGTTTTTAAAATAGAAGAAAAATTACACAGGATATAAATAGCGTTGATTTATATACTATTCTGTAATTCTGACTAATACCGAACGTTCACTTCAAAGTTCCATTTGGAGCTTCCGAAGGCGTCGGACAATGACTGTTATGACTCTAATCGGCCGCTGTATAGCTTTAAAACCGATTACGTGCAGTAACCCTCGTTATATACATATATATATATACACGTATATTACGCGTATCATACGCAAATTACCATATAATTAATTTAAAATAATGCCGACCCTAATATGCATGACCCTATAGACGAGCCAATGCGATCAAAGAGAAAGAAGATACGAGTTTTTTTTCAGCGGTAAATAACCGCAATACACGTCACACAACACTCACGCACACGCGTACACACAAAAGCTATAACACACCCTCCACATCCCCGGCGTCTAATCGTCTAAGGCTGAGTTACACCGATAGTCTGGCTTAACTAGCTCTGATTGGCGTGTGAGTCTAGCGATTCATGGTTCTTCATTAGATTATAGTTCCACTTACAACACACAGACAAGCAAAGAAATTTAGTTAACCAGCGTCGGTGATAACCAACGTATAGGTGCAAACTTAAGATTCATACAGCGGGAGATCAAACGATCGGTAAAGGATCGAGTTGAGAAAAGGTAGTATATAAAATATACATATACATAGAAAAATGTCGCGTAATCTTCGTCCGCGATATACGAAGCATCGGTCGACAATGCGCTTCAAACGCTAATTTAATGGGAGGATGATCGAAGGAGAGAGGAAAAAAAGAGAAATAAAAACCTAAAGTTATATGAGAGAAAGACCGAGCGCGAAAGGAATAGGGAGAAAGACGATAAGAGCGTGCATGAGAGTGCGAAAGAGTTACCCATTAGGATTAAAATGCGTAGCCGATAATTGCGGCCGCGATTAGATATAGGGACTAAAATGGGCTAGCGAGGAAAGACATAAACGTGAGAGTGAATATTATATTATAATCTATATATCGCAAATATGGCTGGACATCGGATGTTGCGTCCCATCGCGCTTCCAGTAATATTTCGGATATTAGGAGAGTCCCAAGGTCCACTCGACGTAAACGAGAGGTAGGCTCTTTTTGAGATCCAAGCCTCAATTGAACTACGTTATACAATTAATATAATGCAGAAAACAAATAAAACAAATAAAACGACGGTTCAGTCTAAATGTTGCATTCTGAAGTCACTTTCCCGTATTCTAACTTGTGACTTGTGATCACTCCTCTTTCTTTCAGATAATATCACTTAACTTATATTGTATAACGCAATCCAATTGATGAATGAATGAGTGAAGATTGAATAGATTCTAATGGATTATTGGTAATTGAAGTTTAGGTTAACTTTGTCGTGACCTTATGATATTGCGCGGAAAGACGAGAGGAATTTCAATTAGCGTGAGAATAGAAATGATTATTTAAGTCACATGAGAGCTTCCCGGACGATTAAGAGTGATCGACATGTAGTGTTATTTCTTTAAATAACCAGACGAGAAGGTCCATTTCAATGGATGGCTATCATCACCGAGTTAATTACTAACATTCATAGGCTAAATAAGTTGCATCAACGGTCTCGTTCAATTAACTCTGAGTTATCGATTTAATATCATCTTCTAGATTAAACTTGTAGCTACATAATATATACAAGGAAAACAAATTTCATGTTAATCTCGATTAATGATTATCGACGTTGATACAACTACTTGAATTTTTATTATGCGTGCATTCTTTTGTAATATCTAAATCATAATAATGCAAATCGTTTTGTAATGTAACTGACAAAATATCACTGGATTCTATAAAGAACAAACTAAATAGAAAATAGATTCTTCCACATTATCTGTAAACGTATTAAATTTTTTTATTTTTAAAACAAAAATTGCACGCTTATAAAAAGGTCTCATACAGCCGTTATTATAGTACAATGGCAGTGCGTTAAAAATACATAATGTACGAGTGCGAAAGGTCTCATCGCATTGGCAGAAGATTTACGAGAAATTCCTCCCTTCTTTCTGGTGACAAGGGCACATCGCCCCTAACAAATTATGCGCGTAATTTATATGACTGGGACATTCGCGTTTCGTTGATATCGCAGAATAAATGGTTCCTTATTACATATTATCATTACTATAATTAAATTCACACGAAAGAGCGTCTATCGATGAATTATAATTATATAAACGACGATTATATACGCGATTATTATATGCGTGCTGTTATTATTATTGCATTAAACAACAGGGTAAACAAAAAAAGAGAGAGAAAAAGAGAAATAATTTTATTAAATTGGATACGTGCGTCACGTGAAACGGCAGCCATTTTGTTTCTTTTGATGAACGTGCACGCAAGGAAAGAAAGGAATTAATAATAATGCGTGTAAAACGAGTCAATTCTTAAAGAACGTTAGCAATACTTTTTCATGACCACAAAGAGACGTACAGCGACAAGATGGCGGAGATTAAAGTATATCGACAAGAAGTGACAGTATTCTTAAGTTCCTAAATTATGCGCGCGACGTAAAACTCGGTTCGTTTAAAGATACAAAAAAAAACATTGAGACTGGGAAAAGAGACAAAGTAGGCAAACTGCGATCGCGTGTGTCACCAACGTTTTGTACACCGCCTATCCTCTTGTGAACAAAACAGTGAATGATAGCTATTCCGTTATAGCCCAGAGAATGATAAAATATGAAAGGGAGCGTGATATTTTCAAACAAATGTTCAAAATAGGCATATTGCATAAGAAGATATAAAAAAGCGATCGACTTTATCCGAACAATTGCCTTTTTTAATCAAAAGTATAAATGAAATTTCCTTTGTTGAAATAATTATTATTTAATAAAAGCCATTTTTTAATAAACACGAAAGTTAGCGTATATTTTAGATTTTGAAAGTAATGAACAAAATATCAAAAAAAAAGGTAGATTCAAAATATCTTTCATTTACTTACAAGAATGGAAGATTCAAATCTTGATTGCTAAAATAAAAAGATCGGCTATTACCGTAAGAAAAACAAGATTAATGTGCTGTAAAATTGTGATAATTTGTGACTATATAATATTACTTTTCTCCATTGACTAATTTGAAACAGTAAAAACTGAAGAAGAAGGGAGAACCAATAAATCTATATTTTAAATTGAATGCAATACATTCACCACATAATAAATGAAATGTGTTCACAAGTGGAATTTAAACAGTTTTTTAACGGCTATTACGATGATATATTAAGTTATCAACATATGCAAATAAATTGTACATACCAAAATTATGTTAAATTTGTTAATCAAATATATTTTCTCTATTAATATATATTTTGGTTTCATATTCAATTATGATTAGTGGTTATTGATTACGTATTTTCCCGAGCCATGTCTATTAATTGCCGTTAAAAATAATTTACTAATTATTAAATGATTAATTTATGTACTGTATATACGATTAATTATGTATATATGTATGTAAATTTTGAATTTATATCAATTGTTTTAGAAAAGTTTATAAATTCTCTCAGTTACAAAATAGGTATTCTCGTTACAAAGCTAAGAAGATGTATACTTTTGCGTGTTGTCATCCTCTCGTGCTCTATATTTTATTTTGCGATTTCCTTTCGGCGTTATCGAATGCTAAATATTCTAAAATAAAAACTAGAGCTAAAGCTTTTTTTGTAATGCGCTTGATGTTTA